CCGAATATTTGCGAAAAACCGCGTACTCTGGTATATCAGTCAGCGGGGTGTTACAGCCGACCTCGAGAAGGCTCAGGATGAGGTTGTGTTCGAGAGGGATATCGGCACCGTGCAGGGCCGGAAGTCATTTCTAAAGTACGCCGTGGGCTCCGCCTTCGTCGAGACCTACCGCAAAGAAGTCGTCAGGGCTTTTTGCAATTCACCTGAGTTTCTCGACAGGCTTTGCCCCGCCGCCATTCAGTACTTCGACCATACTTTTGATGCGTGGGAGGCGGTGGTGGCGGGGTCTGAGTTTGCCGGAAAACTTGACCCCGAGGCGATGAGGCGGGCGCTCCCCGACCCTGATGGTTATGAGGGTGACACATGTCTTCCGGATGATTACCTGTGGTGGTCCGGCCTCGAGGCCAAGGCCATTCACGTTGCCAATCTCTCTTCTCAACTAGAGGCCCCTCCCACCCCCTTGATCGATCCGCCTGAATTGCCTCAAGCGAGTGGGGCTAACCTTGAGGGAGAGGTCCAGGAGAGCGAGGTCGATTCCTAGAATTGTATCTTGAGGCTGTCGCCTTTTATTGTTAAAAGCTTTTCTTTTGATTTTTCTTATTATTGTTCTCGACCTATTTTTAGATTGTAAAGGTCAGGACGATTTTCTCTTGTAATGAACTCGTTATGAATATTATTTTTTGTTTTCGTCGTATTTTGTCGTTTTTCTTTTGTTCTTGAATTGCCATAGAAGTTTAGCAATTGAGGCGGGCTTTCTTCGTTTTCGAGATCTCGATTGTATTTTCATTGTTTAAATTGATTTTGTAATCATAGGCTTCGTAGCCTTGTCGAGGTTCCACTCGAGTTACAACTTCATAGTTATTTAAATCGACTTTGTAGTCGTAGGCCTTGTAGCCTTGTCGAGGTTCCACTCGAGTTACAACTTCGTAGTTGTTTAAATCGACTTCATAGTCATATTCTTCGTAGCCTTGTCGAGCTTCCACTCGAGTTACAACTTCGTAGTTGTTTAAATCGACTTCGTAGTCGTAGGCTTCGTAGCCTTGTCGAGATTCCACTCGAGTTATAACTTCGTAGTTGTTTAAATCGACTTCGTAGTCGTAGGCTTCGTAGCCTTGTCGAGATTCCACTCGAGTTACAACTTCGTAGTTGTTTAAATCGACTTCGTAGTCGTAGGATTCGTTACCTCGTCGAGATTCCACTCGAGAATACAACGTAGTTGTTTTGAGAAACTCGGTATTTCAGCAGTTATAAAGAGTTTGATATGAAAGTGCAAAAAAGACACAATTGAAGCATAAACTTGAAATGCCTTTCACAACTGAATTTGATTCAAATATTGCTCAGTACAAAAAAGAGTAAAATGTTAGTCTCTTAAGCATAAAAGCGTTTGAGCTGGATCACATGCCAAGATCGCGGGAGTTGCCGACCCTCTCCATCCTCGAGTTTGTATGCACCCCTCTCGAGCACCTTTGTGACGGTGTAAGGCCCCTCCCAGTTGGCTTCGATCTTTCCGACATGCTTCAAGGCATCTGCTCGCCCTTCTTCAATCAAATAGAGGGCTTCCTTGGTCATTTCCTCGTTCTTTTCTTGCTCAAAGTATGTCGACCTGTGCGAGCTTAGTGCGATTTCCACTGGTAGGAGTGCATCTATCCCATATACCATACCGAATGGTGATTGGCCTGTCGAGCTTCTCGGCGTAGTTCTGTATGCCCATAGAACAGTGGTTAGCTCGTCGATCCATGCTCCCGACGCTTTCTCCAATCGCTTCTTTAGCCCCTGCAAGATGGTTCTATTCGTGACCTCGACTTGCCCGTTAGCCTGGGGGTGAGCGACCGAGGCAAACCTCTGTTTGATTCCCATATCGAGGCACCATGCTTGGATTCTTTTCCCCTATAATTGCATTCCGTTATCAGAGAGCCGACATCTTCAGAATCCCGAATCGACAACAGATATTGCTGAACATAAATTGGATCATCTTCTCCTCGGTGATTTTTGCTAGGGGCTCCGCCTCCACCCATTTGCTAAAATAGTCGACTGCGAATACGAGGAATTTTCTTTGCCCTGTTCCCATGGGTAGTGGGCCTACTAGGTCGATTCTCCATTGAGCAAAGGGGATCGGGCAGTTAATCGTCGTCATGGCTTCAGCGGGGATATGAGGAACCGGGCCATGACGCTGGCATCTCTCGCATCCTCGCACTAACTGCTCGGCCATTTTTCTGATTTTTGGCCAATAATAGCCAGCCCGCAGAATTTTTCAAGCTAAAGCCCGAGACCCGACGTGAGCTCCACAACATCCCTCGTGAACTACTCGCAAGACATAATTTCCCTCATCTTCTGAAATGCATCTTAAATGGGGCTCGACATACGACTTGTTGTATAGCACCCCCTTAACCTCGAAATATTTACTCAAGTACCGAGCGGCTTTTTCGGCTCCCTGCTTATCTCTTGCAGTACTTGTCCCTGCAAGAGCTCGCGAATTGACTTTCTCTAGTCGCCTTTCTCCTCAACCTCCATTGTTTCGCCCAGGACACTTCCTTCCAAATTCATGGTGGTAATACGGTTTCCCATCTTTCCGTCATTCGAACTTGCTATTTTGGCGAGCCAGTCGGCTCGTTTATTTTCTTCTCGAGGTACCTGGGTTAGTTCGAACTTCTCTAAGCCCCGTATTAGGCTTTGAACTTCCTCAACATACTTTTGCATTCTGTCCTCTTTTATTTCACAATTTCCCATTACTTGGCCCACGACTAGTTGTGAATCAGAATGTGCGGCGATTTCTGTTGCTCCGCCCCCAATTACGAGTTGAATTCTTTTGATCAATGCCTTGTACTCTGCTTTGTTGTTCGAGGCTTTGAAACCCATTCTGATGGCGAAGTTGAGTTGCTCACCTTTGGGAGATATGAGGACAACTCCTAAGCCAGACTCCTTGGCCGCCGAGGATCCATCGACATGCACTATCCATTTCTTCTCTTCTCCTTTAGTTCTTTCTTGGATAAAATCTGCTAAAGCTTGGGATTTTATGGCTCGTCTTGGTTCATACTTGATAGAGTATTCACTTACCTCGACCGCCCACTTCACGAGTCGACCCGAAATAGTTGGTCGACCCAAGGTCTCTCCGAGTTGGAAGTTTGTACTTACTACTATCACATGATTCAAGAAATATGGCCTCAACTTTCTGGCCGTTATTACTAACGTCAAAGAAGCTTTCTCGAATTCGGAATATCTTGCCTCTGCGCCCTGAAGTACCCGACTTGTATAATAAATCGGCTGCTGGGCTCCTCCTGCTTCTTGCAACAACACTGAGCTCAAGGAAAATACTCCTACTGAGATATAAAGCTCCAGCTCATCGCCTGGCTCTGGTTTTGTTAATAGTGGTAACTCGCTTAGAAATTCTTTCAATTTTTCAAATGCCACTTGCGCCTCGTCATTCCATTGAAAAGCTTTCTTTTTAAGCAATTTAAAGAACGGAAAACTTCTCTCCGCCGCCCGAGCGATGAACCTGCTCAGGCTGGCAATTCGACCTTACTTGCACTTCTCTGATGCTCTTTGGTGGGGTCATGTCGAGAATGTCCTTCACCTTATCCTTGTTCACTTCAATGCCTCTTTCAGTCACGACATAGCCAAGGAATCGTCTTGCCTTCACTCCGAAGGTGCATTTACTCGGATTCAACTTCATCCCAAATGTCCTCAGTGTTTCGAATGTTTCTTTTAGATCCTCGACATGCGAAGTCGAGGACCTGCTTTTCATCAAGATGTCGTCTACATACACCTCCATATTACGCCCTATCTGTGACTTGAACATCCGATCCATCAGCCTTTGGTAAGTCGCCCCTGCGTTCTTGAGTCCGAAGGGCATGACGATGTAGCAGTATGTTCCCTTGCTCGTCACGAAGCTCACTTTGCTCTGATCTTCTGGGGCCAATGGGATTTGGTGATATCCTTGAGATGCGTACATCATACTTAACAATTCGCAGCCAGTCGTAGAGTCGACTAGCTGATCAATTCTTGGCAGCAGATAATGATCCTCTGGGCATGCCAGGTTTAAGTCGCGAAAGTCGATGCACATACGCCAATTATTCAGTGCTTTCCTCACCATCACTTTGTTGGATATCCATTCGGGGAATTGGATTTCTTTGACATACTTGGCCTTGAGTAACTTATCCACCTCAACCTCAATTACTTTATCGATCTCAGCTCCATGATATCTAAGTTGTTGTTTGATAGGCTTCTTGAGGGGATCGACATTGAGTTTGTGCTCCATAACCCTCGGGTCGATCCCTGTTAACTCTTCAGGAGAGAGAGCGAATATATCTCTAAATTCTTTAAGTAATTCTACCAACTGTTTCTCAACTCATTCCCTAATTCGCTCCCGATCTTGGTGGTTTGATCCTCCCTCTGCCCGATCTGGATTTCCATCAATTCTTCATGCGGCTCAAGGTCGCTTCCCCTCGGCCTTTTTTCGTTCGGCATCGGCTTCTTTTCTTCCCTTATCTCTGCCCGCTGGTTTTCTTTTATTTCTATTTGAGAACAGGTCCTTGATAGCTTTTGATTTCCTCGGGCCTCCCCTACTCTATCCCCAACGGGGAACTTTAGCTTCATATGGTAAGTCGACACCACTGCTTGGAATGTATTGAGCGTCGGCCTGCCCAAAATCACATTAAAAGCCGACTCGACGTCGATTACAATGAACCGCACCATCTATACTTTCCTCAAGTCGCCTTCCCCTAGGACGACAGTGAGTGTGGTTTCTCCTAGGGGTGCGACTTCTGATCCATTGAAACCAAAGAGTGATGTATGTAGAGGCGTAAGCTCGATGTCGAGATCCATCCATTTGAGACAGTCATAAAAGATCACATTCACTGAACTTCCCGTGTCGACAAAGATTCTTTGCACTTCGTAGCCCGATACTTGGGCGGTTATCATTAAAGCATCATTGTGAGGCCTTTCGACCTCTCCTACATCTGCTGGCCCAAAATTCATCACTGGGCCTCCCTCATCGACTTGTTGTACCTTGACCTTAGAGTGTCTCCCTCGGGCATACGCTTTTCCTGCTCGATTTGAGTCTCCATCAGTTAGCCCACCGAAAATCATATGAATTACTCCCCTTTTTGGGGGAAGCTCCTCCTTCTTGGGTGACCTCGCCCTCTTATGAGGGCTCTTGCTCCTCTCTCTCTTTCGGCCCGTTCTCTCGCGGTCCTTGTATATGAATTCTTTCAAATGACCCGCTTTTATCAACCTCTCGATCTTGTCTTTGAGGTGTCTACAATCGTCAGTATTATGCCCATAATCTTTGTGAAATCGACAGTATAGATTGCTTTTGGGTTTTGTCGGCCCGTCATTCCTCGTTTTGGGCCATCTCACCATATTGTCGCGAATCTCCCTTTCTATGACCTCGAGAATCCTGGCTTGGGGAGCCGCCAGAGGGGTGTACTGAGTAGGCCTCCAACTCCTAGGTCGCCCTTCTCTTTCCGTTCGTGGGGACCCTTTTCTCTCCCCAGTCGAGGGATTCTTCCTTTCCCTCTTCTCGTCACAAGAATCCGTTTTCATTACTTTGGCCGTTTGCAAGAAGTCGGCTTCTGCTTCCTTGATATTCATGTATTTCGCACATCTCTTCAACACTTCATCGAACGTTCTACCTGGGCGCTTCGCCAGAGAATTCCTACATAAGCCTGGTAGTAGCCCTCGAGTCAAACCTCCCGCCTTTATCTCCACCGACGCCCTAGGCATCTCGATGCATGCCCGCGTGTATCTCGCCACATAATCTCGTAGTGACTCACCTTCTTTTTGTTGTATGCCCATCAAAGTTAGATATGACTTCTCCTGTGGTCTAACACTTGCAAATTGATTGAGAAAACTTGAGCTGAATCCATCAAAATCCTTGATGGCCCCCGGAGGTAGCTAATGGAAGCAATCTTGGGCAGAGCCCATCAAGGTCGTCAAAAAGGCTCGACACTGCACTGGATCGTTGTAACTATGGAGCACCGCCATGTTCTCGAAACTCCTCATGTGTCGAAATGGATCGGTCGACCCGTCGTACCTTATGTTCAGATCACGGAAACCTTGGGGTAGGTCGGCGTCGAGGATATGCTGCGAGAATAGATGTCCTCTTGAACCACCAGTTTGTCGTCCCTCAACTCGGGCTTGCAAATCGCGAACCTGAGCCAGCAATTGCTCCAATGTTTCATCTCTCGCTTGTGGGTTAACAGTTCTGATGGAGGATGCCTCCTCTTCTACCCTCCTATTAGGCCTCTCATTGGATTGTGCCTGCTGCTCATGTTCGACATTCGGCTCGATCCAGGGCTGCTCGATCCTAGGCTGCTCGACCCTAGACTGTTCGACTTAATTCTGCTTTAGTTGGGCCGCCACTGCCTTAGCAATCATTTTTTGCATCTCGCCTCTCGTCATGGTTAATGTCTGCTCTTCGACTTGGGGTGGTGGCCCTGCTCCTTGCTCAAATAGCCCAGGCTGCCTTTCCAAGCTCAGAGATGTCTCGGTCGGCTCCTGTCCATTGGCTCCTTCGCTCGTGCCCTTTTCATGGTTGGGCCCTCCTTGCACGAGCACTAGGATTTTGACCCCCGGTTAGGTAATAGGCGTTTCATCCCCACCGCGTATTCCCGATGGTGGGTGCCCTCCAAATGGCAGAAAAACGAGCTTCTGGAGCGGTGGTCTAGGGCTGGGAACCGTCGGCGGTCGCTTATCAATCCACGTTCCCCTAAAATTCTCGTTCAAATTCCTCTGCAATCCTTCCTTCTCAGCAATCAGAGTCAGATCAAAGCTAGGTGTAAAGCTCTTAATTCCTTCAAGAACTCCTCACAGACGGCGCCAAAATGATGGGTCTCCTCTCAGATCTGGAGTGAATCAATGGAAACAAGCTCAGATCTGAAATGAACCGATGAGAATGAACTCAGATCTGCCTCGATCGCCTTCAAACCGTTGCTGAACTGCGAGAACACCTGCAAGAACTCAACGCTGGAGGGGTTTCTAGCGTAGAGCCTCCGACGCTCAAGTCAATATATGAAAGAGATGAAGAGAGCTGCTCTGAGAGAGTAGCAACAGTAATGGAGGAGAGTATAGAATGAATGGGAGTTAGGGTTTTGGGGTTACCTCAGCTCCTTTATATAGAGGCAAAACATTTACCTGAAGTTCCCAAAATGCCCTGGCCGACTTACTGGAAATGTCCAGAATACCCTGGTCGGTTCGCATTCCGTCCATCTTCTAGTCAGCATCTAGATTCCTTCTTATCCTTAATAGCTTCCTTCTTATCCTTGACAGCTTCCTTATGATATGTTGAAGTATACCGGAATTTTTGGAGATCTATGAGCCTCGAGACGTCCTCAGTTGACTCGGGATATCAACTCGAGTCGACTGGGTCATCTTCAATTGTCGGTAGACCTTGATGCGTCTGTCCGTCTTTCTGGTGGGAGTCGACTTCTACTAGTCGACACATGGAAGTCGACTGAGAGAAACGCCTGGGTTCTGACAGACTGGAGATATTATAAGTCCGCGAGAAGAGTCGACTTCATATAAGTCGACTCTATAATGTCTGAACCGTTATACGACAGTATGGCTATATAATGTCTGGTGAAGAGCCTCCGATGCTTAAGTTAGTATGTGTATGAATATACTGGAATTGGGTAATGGAAAAATCGTGTTAAGGAAGAAAGGCTCAGCCCCTTTATATAGAAGTGAAATACTTGCCCTAGGGTTGCCCAGATTTGATGAGTTGGCTGCCCAAGCTGCCCGTCCATACTCTGACACACATCGCGTATGTTGGGAGCTGTCAGAGGTGGTTATCGCTACCAACCAGTAAGTTCTCGACACGTGTCCTCCTGCACATGGGATGAATATTCTCCTGAAGTTCTATTAGAGGCTCTTTCACGCGCCTGTGACTAGGCCGATCTTACGAAGTGTTAAGTCCACGAAGTGGTCGACCGATCGAGGTCGACTGAACTGCTCGACTGAACTGCTCTACCGTTCATCTGGTCGAAGGATAGATTGGTCGACCGCTTGGCTGGTCGACTGGTTGACTGGTCGATTTTCCTGTCACTCAGCTTGGTTTCCTCACAGTATGACCTCTTCGACCGGTTCAGCAAACCAGTTTAGCCTTGCGGGTATAATATCCTATATCATCTAGTCCCCCCCCCCCTCGCACTCTGGTCGAGTCTGGGTGACTCGATCTAAGAGTGAATTTGTGCTCCTCGCTTTCCTCGATGGCATGATGTCAGATATCGACCACCTAGTGAGTTTTCCGCTCATATTTCGAATTAATTCCTCATTAATTGCCAGACATAAGGTCGCCTATCGCATGTCTTTGCTGCCACACCTACTTTTTTGCCACGCGTCGCGTCTGCCGCATTTGTCAGGTACTTTAATGATAGTGCCTCCTCGCATAACGCGCCCACTTTGAGTGTCGTGTGAGTTAATGCCCTCCACCGTAAGATCCAGCTTTAATCCAACGGTCCTAATCTTCCAATCCTTTAACTCTCCAAAATATAAATTCCACACTTAGCGGATTTTCAGACTTTTTCCACCTCTGCAACTCTCATCTTCCTTTGCATTCGAAAATCCTCTCCGCAAAACTCTAGCTTTCCCCGGTGATTTCTCTCTGCAATTCTCGAGCTTTCCTAATTCTTTCTTCTGCGATTATGAGTAAGTTGCTCCTTGCCTGATTTTACGTTTTCTGTATCTGAGATTTTGCGTTTTGAATTTTTTGAATTGGGTATCTTGAATTTTCTTGTTGAGTTTTCTAGATTTGCGTGCTTTATCCTGAATGTGTGCTCTGAACATTGTAATTTGTTTGTTGATCATTGTGAATTTTGTTTTTCCTCGGCCCTTTTTTGAACCTTCCTGTTTTCCCCTCTTAATTTCCTGGAATCACTTTTCCCAGAAAAACCCTAGCTTTTGAAGACCTTCTCCTCTTCCCTTCTTCTTACCTTCGAAATTCTCTTTTTTGGTACTGTTCTTCTTTGTTTTCTCTTGTTCTTTCAGATCCCGCTACTTCGACCACCTCCTCTAATTCGGTTCAAGTATTGTCCTCTGCACTTGAAGTTGTTCCTCTCTCTATCCTTCGCCCCGGCGATACATTTCCTACCCGTGTTTTTACAACCCGTGTTTCATCTCCCAATTCCAGAGATACTATAGATAACTTTCCTCTCCGCCATCGCCAACCTGCTTTTGGCTTATTAGATGAGCCAGAGGAGGACGAGGTTACTTCTTCTCAGCCTACTTTTCCTGTATCTTCGACCATTCCTCATTCTTCTTCTCAAGCTATTCTCCCAGCATCTCCTTCTTCTCCCAACAAAGCTTCAACCAAAAACCCCCCCAAAACCTCCGGAAAGCACCCTTCTTCTACCTCTCTCTCTACCAATTGGTATTCTCCTGAAAAGATCGGCCACCCCAGCGGTTGGTCGTTCTATAGGTCTTCTCCGTCCGACAAATATGATCGTCCCCCGAGGGACTGTTATACTTTTTTCAAAATCCAATTCAAGTTCGGCCTCCGTTTTTCTTTGAATCCTGAGCTACTTCGCATTTGTGAGTGGTTTTTCGCTTCCCCTACATCAACTCCCTCCTAATGCCATCCGCTTCATGACCACCTTCATCATCTTCTGTCACGTCCGTTTAGGTCGATTCGACCTAGCCTTCTTCCACTATTGTTACGCCCCTTCCAAACAAGGTCGAGGCCTTTACCTTAAGAGCCACAACGGCGCTCACTTTATCAATGACATTCCTTCCAATCTTCCTAAGTGGAGTGACAAATTCAATTTTGTCCAGCCCGATGTCCCTTTCCCTTGGCCCTCCATCCCTTGGGTCAAGGAAGTTTCCCAAGAGGCGGCCTCAGCTCCTCTTCCAAGCCCTCTTTTCGACCAACGGATCCACACTTGGAATTCCAAGCTCGTTGCGTCAGAAAGTCTTCTTAAAGACGAAAACCTTCTTCACCACTGTGGTTTTCTTACCCACAAAACATGTCCGCCACCCAGTGATGAGATCCTCGATCTTATCCGGCTTGAGAATGACCCAGGTACTTTTCAATTAGTTTGCTCGATTGCTCGTGCGTTCTATTATCCTCGCTTTATGCAAATGCTACTGATGTTGAGTTTAATGCATTTCTTATCTTTCCGCAGAGGTTCCTAGCTTCAGCATTCCTCAAAGGAGAGTCCCTCTGAAGAAGAAATCAGAGGCTGCTTCTGGGTCGAGCAGGGACAAAGTTAAGGGGCCGGCGACTTCCTCTGGTTCTCGACCAGACCCACCTCAACGGTCTCCTCCACGGCAGACTCCGCCACCTCCACCATCATTGCAAGGGCAACCACCGCAGCAACACCAACAGCAACAACAGTCGCAACAACACCAACAGAGCCGAACTCCTCCACCTCCTCCCGACAAACTCCTCAGCACACATCTGCCTCTACCTCTACCACCAAAACCTCGACCACCTCCAAAACTGATGATCGCCAACCAAAAACCACTGACCGCTACCAAAAATCCGACGACAGCCACCAAAAACCCGACGACCGCCACCAAAAACCCGACGACCGCCACCAAAAACCTGACAGCCGCCACCAAAAAACCGACCCTCGAGCTCCCAATCCTAAAGAAATCACTCAGTCCAAAACCACAGACAAATCATCCGAACCCAATGCCTTGTCCAAAACCAAGACCCAAGAAGAACCTCCCTCCGACTAACAGTCCTCTAAAATCCTTTCCGCGGGATCGACCAAGGCTCTAGTGGAGTCCAGCGGTCAAGATGATATAAGGCGGGAGATGACCCTGGGGAAGCGTTCTCGCACCGACCAAGGGGAAACGGTCTAGAAGCGAGCACGTGATAGCCACCTTCCGCCCAATCCTTTAGCCCCACAGTCTACCTCTCTACTATCGGCCCCTGTGAATGAGGTGGCCGATTGCCTCGAGGGTGCTCTCCTCGAGGACGACCTCAAAAAGGGCAGCGCCACGCTCTCGGAAGTTGTCAATCAGCTTGTCTAATGGCTCGCCCAGGTATTGCTCATCTTGCATTTGCTTCGATATTTTTCTATCCCCTCTTTTTTTTTCGCTATACATGCCTTGAATTATTTCATCTTCTTTAATTATAGGGTTTGGTTCAATTCTTGCCTCTGGCTAAATAGGCCCGAGACAGCTCTGGAAAGTCCATAAGGGGCCTCGAGGGCACCATCGGCTTTCTGCAAGATAATAACTCAACTCTCCTACAGCACAACACCAAGCTCCGCAAGACACAGAC